CAAATGTAGCCAAATCTTGCAACGTTGGAAGAAATACTAAATAAAGCTGGAGTTGTGACTCAAAGGATTATAGACCAAATGCGGGGAAAGGAGAGAAAAGACAAAAGATGAAAAAGTGAGAAAGGTTGGAAAATTAAGGGTTCATATTTGCTTAACAGAAGATCTATTTAACCTTTCTCATTACTACATCTTTTGTCCTTTCTCACCTTTCCCTCCTTTCCCAAATTTGGGTCTATAATTCTTTGAGTCACAACTCCAGCTTTATTTAGTAATCCTTCCTCATTCACACATTTCCAAGTATTTGAAAATATTTCCTTTCCACTGAAAAATAAAATATGAATAAAGGTTTACGACTTTGTGAAACTTCTTTTTTAGTTTATGCCATTGAAATAAATAAATAATAAAAAAATTAAAACATTTGTCAGTTTTGTTTACACGTTTATTGGGCCGCATTGGAACTTGCCTTGGGCCGCATGCGGCCCGCGGGCCGCGGGTTGGACACCCCTGATCTACACCAATTTTTGCTGTGTCGTCCTCCAGATCATCTCAAGTAATTTTCAAACTATTGCTGTGTGGTGTCGGAATCCCGAAGTAATCTTCCCACAATAATTAGACACGACCGCTCGGCAGTTAGTTTGTGCACGTAGACTTCACCAGTTACTCGTAGTACGTATGTATGTGCAGTTACATGCAAGTATTAGCATACTACTATAGTTACTAAACCTAAACCAAAACAGAGAAAATAGAAAATCTGCATATTTCATACCATCCAAGAATTAAAATAACCCCAATTCCTTAGGGTTAAAGTCAACCTATAGAGATTTCTCTACTGTCTACTGTGAGCACCAACCTTTTAACACCCTCCCTCCCAGCGTGGACGTCATTTACGGACATCTTCATATTCAAGACCGAAGGTCGAATCTTAACATATTCACGTTGAAGAAAGATTGTAATTGGTCTTATTTTCGTGTAGCTTTAAAACGGGAGTCACCGATTTTAGTTGGTTGGTAAAACCGGATTTCAGTTCTTACATAAAGCGTCTTGCAACAAAATGACGTCATTTTTCTGCATGATACACGTTTTACGTAAGAACTTAAACCCGAGTTAATTTACATTCGCGCAGACAGGAAGAAAATTCAAACCAATTATCTCCATGCCACTGCTTATGAATGGACAAGATTTGGATTTTCGTAACTTTCGATACTTTTTTACAAAAGAATCTGTAACTCAGACATTGTATTGCTGTATAAAGAATATATATATATATATATATATACACACACGCACACACTTGGCTTGACTCCGCATCACCCAAATCTGCAAAGGGATCGTAAAACTGATCCAACTGACGAAATTTTCAATTTACCTGTTATTGTTTTATTCAATTTACAGGTAAATTAAATAAAACAATAATTTTATAATCTGTAAAACTTCAGCGGCCGGATGGCCGAGCGGTCAAGGTGGCAGCCTACCGCTTCGACTGAAATAATTAAATCCTAAATATGCGGCCGGATGGCCGAGCGGTCAAGGTGGCAGCCTATCGCTCTGGGGAACCCGGGTTCTAATCCGAACGGGTCGAAAAAAATCCCCAGGAATTTTTCGGGGGGTGGTCCGTTCAGATATGTCGGGCCCCGTCCCTCACCACCCGGCAGCCCCATCGTGGGCCTGGCCGAACCCATAATGGGCTTGCAAAAAGAGGCCCTCTTAGTGACCATAGGGAGGAAAAAGTTAAAAAAAAATCTGTGAAACTGAGTTGCAGTATCCTTAAAGCCAGTTTAATAAGTCTTGTCTTGTTAATAGATACGTACTAATGGACGAAATAAGATTGACGAAACTTTCAGTCTTGGGACGTTCAGTTGAACAGAAACAAGGCCGAAAATTAAAAATTATTTAACTGTTACGTTTTGGTTATTTTCTGTTGTACTACAACTAATGAAAATGTGTAGATTTATGGTGCGTAGTTACGTGTAATTTGATTGTATTAATGGCGGAAAGTATAGTGAAGAGAATGAGAATCGATTTAAAGTATTTATCGAAGAAGTTAGGAAACATAGATGTCTATACGATAAAATATGTAAAGAATTTAAGGATACATCATTAAAACTGTATAAACAGCGAATGGCGTAAAATTTGGAACGAATGTCAATAAAGTATGGCATAGAGCGGTTTCAAGGTCGCATGTCACATGATTTAACGCACGTTTGCTCCGCCCTTCGCCATGTTTGTGGTCTACCTTCCGCTTGCGCGTGGTTTGTTATTTGATAAATTGGCAGCGCTTTTTTTCAATTTAAACTTAATAGAATTGCTGTATTTTTATATCGTAGACCAAGTTAAAAAAGATGCTTTTCTGGCGAGCTATTCTCGCAGTCTGGCAAAACAAGATGCAGCATTATACGAAGAGAAAGTTTCATTATGTCAAGGTGTCGATCCATACGAAGTCAGCATCTTCGTTGTAGATCAAGAGTTGTCGCCTAAAGTGGAATTTGTTGACATCATAAACTGTTTTGTTTTGATGACAAATTACTATTCTCTCTCACAAATGAAAGCTTACAAATCTTTAGAGGCCCATAATTATCTTACAAGTGTCTGTGTTTCTCCTGATTATGATCATACCGGCATGTGATGTTTCATAACGCTCCCGATATGCAGTTGGATGTGGCCACTCTCATATCCCATGTACGATGTTGGCATCCAGTCTGTGGATGACTCATCATAAAATGAGGAAGGTTTTCTTTTGGGGTAAAAAACTTTTTCAATAATATATTGATGTTATGTTATGTATATAAATGTTATAAGTTATATATAAATAATAAATACGAATTTGACAGGAACTTGAAGGTTACTATGTAACGATTATTTGTTACTAATGTTAAAAAAAATCATCGTAAAAAAGTAACATCTTAAAGAAAATGTTTCTCACCAAAATAACCTAACTTAGTTATTCGTAAATGAACAATGGAAATTATTGGTTTATATCTTAAAAAATACACTTATTTATGTAAATTAGACTGGAAGAACAATTGATCCAAAATTCATCATCTGCTAAGCGATTATTTTTGCTTAATAGTAATATTAACTCTATTCTATATTTATTACAAGCAGACACAAAGAAAACGAACTGAAAGATGAAAAATAAAGTTAGAACACAATCGTTATCTATTCAAACTAAAATCTACTGTTGTTAAAATTATTTAACTTTATTTTGTCAGTATTAACAAAGGGATTTATGCAACCGGCTTGTACACGCTTTATGATACTTATGCAAGTTTATCGAATCATTTATTGATAACTAATAATCAAATTTTATTGCTTACTTGAAATGTTTCTGACAACTCTTGTATTGATATATTCACTATCCGTATTGAAATTTTTCTGGTTAATTCTCGTCGCTCCTCAGTTTGGAGTCCCTGATGACAAATAATGCCGGAATTTAAAAAAAAAATGACGTTCCTTTGTTCGTAAGTGAACTAGCATTACGCCCAATCACACAGCAATTCATCATAGAGATATTCGCGACGAAGTAAATAAATTATGCTCGTAAGCAATAGTAAAATATATATAACCCGGTTTTAAAAATATTTGCGATGATTTTTACCTTCTTGTTCGATTACGTGACGCCATATTAAAAGTCACTCGACTTAGCTACTTTTCAAAAATTCGTACACAGTATTAGACTCTAAATACTTTAGAAACGATAATACCAATCTTATTTAATTATATTTAAAGGAAAATAAGACGAGTCTTCATTTATTACTAAATTAATTACGTAATTAATTTTTGAAGTACATTATTAACAGCCGCTTAAGAACAACTATGCAAATACAGTAAATCGGTTAATGTGGCATTATAAATTGTAATTAGCTGTTTCGACTAGAAATAAAATTAGTTTATTATTAGATCAGAACCGAATATAATCATTAATTTTTTTTTATATATCAAACAATTGTAAATTATATTACCTACGCATTAGAATGTAGCGATTATTTTTTAAATTATTTCATTTTACTGTAATACATGCCGCTGACGAGATGTCGAATTACACTAAAAATTACTCCACGATTCTAGTAAATTGTATTTTTGGAAATTTATGATCAAGTCTTTTAATTTTCGTAATCTTTTCATAATATCAAAAAGTATTCGATTGAAAAGCGGATATTTTAAGTGGAAGAAACATTTATAAAACTGAATATATACAAAACATTATTCATTCTTTATTTCTGAACATGACTTATTGGAATTTTCGGTTCACAAAATAAGTGAGATCATTCATTTTAAAAAAATTCGGCAAGATTCTCATAAAATAGCTGAAAATAGCTATTGTTTTTTTGGCCATTCGTCTCCAAAGCTGAATTACAGTAAAAATGAGAAAACAGGTTTTAAGAGTTACACAAACAAAAGTTATAAAAAAAAAAGGCCAACGGCAAACGTTTGCATTCAGAACGCGAAAATTCAGCTGAATGATCATAACTTATTAAATCAGTTGTGTCATCAATTCAAAATTAAATTTTTTAATTATATTTTAAACGATAACCAACCAACAACAATCAAATCACACTATTTACCAAGTCAATGATTATAACTCCTGCCTTTCCCATAAGGAAAATTTCATTTCCCAATGGGATCTTACTCTTACCAGTTTGATTAAAAATAATCTTGAAGAGGTTTGTGCGCTAAAGAAATCTGCTTGCTTTTAACATTAAATTTAAGAAATAATAATTAATGTTTACATCAAATTTAATGATATAAAAACACATCATAGGTATGTATATATATATATATATTATATATATTTTTTCCTTAAAATTTTAATTAATAACATAATAAAAAACAAAATGATATTCTTTTTTTAGGCTCAAAAAAGTGAAAGAATTCACTCATTTCTTACTTACATGGTCATACTTAACTTAAGAATGGAAAATTACAACCACACCCATATGTACAGATGTTTAATGTTAAGTACAGGTGAATATATCCTCTTATCTACAAACATAATCCTTCAATGAATTAACAAAACTGGAGTGTTGTTCAGCACTACTTGCATAGAAATAACAATTTATATGTTGCTTACATAGAGTTCTATTCACAAGTGCACTTTCGATCTTTTCCATTACGATATATTTAAATTAATTTCGAATTTTTACAAAATTTATTTTAATGTTAACAGTACCCTATGTTTACTGTCTGCAGTTTTGCTGTAATAAATAAATTTTACTTTATTATTTAAAATTAAATTCACCATAATTAAATAATTAGGAAAATAAAGTAAGCTGCAATATTTATTATGTTTTTTTTTTTTTTTACGTTTACTATGTTCCTCCCAAAAAATTTGACAAATGTTTTACAAATAATACTTTATCTTCAAAAGTATACTCAATTTTTCAAACATAAGTCACAATGTTTTCTAAAGCATTAGTAATTGTATAATATATACAAACGTCACACACTTCATTTATGCACATTGTGATAGGAACCTGAACAAATATAATGCTCTGCAATAACTTTAATTACATGATCAAATTAAGGAAAATATTCAGAAATTAAATAAAGATGGTTTTGACTGTATGCTTAAATCATGTAGGAATCAAAGCCACTTTTCACATTAAACAGAATTATGCAAAGGTAATAAAATAACTTCTGTAGGTGCAATAAAATATAATGAAATATTACATCAGAGCCTCAATTCCTTCTTTCAAAACAAGTGTAATGGAATTTAACTTTATGATTATATTGTAACAAATTGGTTCTTTAGTCATGAAATTATATCACTTCACTCTTGTCTTCATTGTCCACATTTACACACGTCAGTGCAATTCAAAATCAATAACGTTGATGGCTGAAGTACACTCTGGGAATGATTTAAAGGAATTCGTGTCACTGAATATAAACCGTCATCATCCAGATGATCAGACGGAACTGGAAGAAACAGTTTAATTGTCCGCACGCTAAAAAAATTGTTTCATGTACCCTGTTTCTTATCCAGCTCAGATCTGCTTCCAATCGATGGACTGATTGTATCTGAAACAAATAAGCTTCTTTATCCACAGAAAACTGTAGAAAATCATAATCAATGTTTTTGTTTATAATCTCCCTGGCCACTTTCGAGTCTTTCGTACACATTTGGTGTTCGAAATCCTTCTTTTCTTCTCCAAGAATCACTGTGACCTTGATAAGAACTATATGGTCCCAACGGACTGTGCTCTCCGACCAAAGGAGGAGGCTGCGTCACTGAAGTAGAAATTTGTCCCTGAACTGATGCACCATAATTAAAGTTACTATGACTTGAATACACAGATGGCACATTATAAGATGAATATGTTCCACTGTGAGGTGGGGGCATTTGACCATGAAACCTGAATAATAAAGAAAATACTTTATAAAATGCAATTTAATTATTTGACAAATAAAACTTTTCCTAAAATTAAAAATTGCAACAAAAGTTGCCTATACTGCATTATCATCATTAATTACACCTCTGCTGTTGGTTTTTAACCATGCATTTTGTTCAAATGCCAGCTAGCAAATTAAATATGAACTAAGATATATATATCTATGATTCTTAAATAACTATTTTATTGCTACCATAATTTTTAAATTCAGTTTAATAAAAATAAACTAAGATAATATAATTACAGTTTGAAGAATTATCCATTTAGACTTACTGTCAAAAAGAGAATAACATGGTTAACAAAAAAATCAATGTATCTATATGATTCCTTTGTTATCCAAGTATATTTACATTATGTAAAAAGTACTGGCTGCTTAGTTATTCAAGTTTTTGAAAAGTAGTGTGATATAATCTTGCTAAAAGATCTTTTTTCAGAATTTTAAATACATACATATATATCAATTAATACTAAACTGTAAGGCAAAATATTATTGACAAAATAAAAGGCCAAGAAAATAATACATACTACTATTTTTTTATATTTTCATGATACAAAACAATTTTTTTTAATTAAAAATTTTGTTTAAATCACTAGAAAATACTTTTACATTCTACTTTGTAATAAACTTGAAACTAATGAAAATATTTTTCTTTGTATTTGTAGACTAATGAACATCAGATCCATTCTTATTCTGGGATAGACTATAATAATAAAAAATTTGGAATATTTCAGTTTTGAAATGAGTAAACATATTTAATATTCAAAATTTCTCTCTTTCAAATGCAGTAACAATTGTTATTAATAAATCAGAAACAGTAATAATTTTTATATTTTAACAGTTAATTTTAATACAATAACTTATAATTCTTTAAATTTAAATTGAATTGTACATATTATTCACTATTTTACATTAAAGTAGGCATATGAATAATCAGTATTACCCATGAAAACCTTGGATTTTTGTAGAAACTCAAATTTTTTCATGCTAATTTACTAATGTTTATTACAAAATTATATTTTTGATAAAAATTAAATAATTTTAAAAATAAATATATTGGTAAAAAACTATTAATTATTGTATCTTTCATTATCTATGAATCAAACAATCTGCATGATCATTTTATTTCTTAAACTGGATCATTTTTTTTATAATAGTTGTCTGTTATTTATAACTTATTGTAAATAAAATCTTTTTCTTATATACAGGATTCCTACTCAAATTTTTGTTTCAGTTTCCATGACCTCCCCTGACCAACTTTGTACAAATTTCCTGACCTCACACTTCTTACAGTATGGCACATTTACAAAATAAAACAGCACTTAACTTCACATGCACATGTTTTGCTTCTCCAATGCTTTAATTAGTAATTTTTTCTAATTTAAAAGTTATATATTTTTTATAATTGCCAAATTATTAAAATCAAATAAAATATTTTATTAAAATTCTGTTATTAATCCACAACCATAAATCTGAATGGCTTTGAAAAAAGAAAAGAAAAAAAAAAATCATTTTTTATTATTCATTAACAAATTCTATATAATCCATGTACAAAAGTATATATTTATTACATTCCACTCTTAATAAATTTCCTGAACTTTATAAAATATTAATAAGCTGGAAAAAAAAAACCAGAAATTGTTTTGTTACACAACCAAAATTATTAAAATAAAAAATGATAAATAATTTAAATAGTATTATTTATCATTTTGTGTACTTTGTAAATTTTTGTGTAAACTTGGGAGAAATTTTGGGTCCTGAAAATATTTTGCACTCCTTTCTATAAGTTGTATTGCACCACATTACTTCTTGCTGCCTGCAGACAGCTATACTTTATAAAGCATATTGTCAGCAAAAATCAACAAGGCAGCCAAGAAAGCAAATTTCCTAATTTTTTTGACAATTTTTAACAAATTCCCTAACATTCCATGACTTTTTCTGAACACCAATGAAAATCCCTGACTTTCTAGATGCTTAGGAACCCTGTATTTATGATAAATAATTTTAATCCAAATCAGAATATTTGAATATCCATTCATACTTATTTAAAAAGATAAGAGAAAGAGAAAATTTCAGCAAATAAGTATTTGGTAATTACCTAGGATCTCTCCTTTCATTGTGTAATCTATCTCGTTTATTATAATTACTTGGTCCTTCATCTCGAGGATATGATCTATAATGATCTCTCTTGTAATCACTATTATATCTAAAATAATAAATATAGAATATTACATTAAATTAATGAAAATATTTTAATTTTAATTATTGAAAAATAAAAAATGTTGAATAATAATAATAATATTTAAAATGTATATTCTTGTTTTCTTCTGTTTGTTTGATTCCAATTCAGCGAAACAACTCTCTTAGGAATTCTGCATTATTCACGTCCAATTATATACTATACAGTAATACCCTAAACTTACGCAATAGGTGGGACCGAGTGATAACCGCGTAAGTCAAGGTATAATTTCGCAATATGTGTAAAATCCAAGTCGGATGTATGTAAGCTGATAAATGTTCTCGTTAACCTTATCTTGTCTTTTGATTCGTTCACGGTTACAAGAAATCACCACATATACTCTCTCAAGTCTCCGTAGATATAACAAACACAGAAATAAATAACATAAAATAAATTGTAGCTATGTGTCAATTCCGCGCAACATGTCCGAAAATGTAAGCTGAACAATAGTGTGGGGGAATGAGTAATCAAGAGTTGCGTGGCACTCAAACAAAAGACGAATCAACGAGATTTAAAAACTCTGGGTTCGCATAAGTCGAGGTATTACTGTATTTACATCCATTCTAACCATGCTTACTAATACATACTATGCTGATTTCATTTTTCTGCTACTATAGAGGAACCCCCATTTATCCAGCTCAAATGGAACTGGGTCTAATTCAGATGACCAAAAATCTGTAAAAATTGTTAATGACATAAAATAAAGTCTATAAACTTTGTTATTTATATTTTCTAGTCCAACATAACAACCACTTTCTTTCTTTTAAACATCATTTTCATAGTGTTTGCTTTATTTCACATATGTTTGAAGATGAGTGAAACTTGGCAAAACAATAGAAGCTTTAGGGTGTTGAGTGAATAATAACTTGCCAGGTTATAAAAAATAAACTTATTAACATGTTGACTGCCATGAGCAGCACAGCATTTTCATTCAACATTAAGTAACAATTTTTAAAAATTGAAAATCTTAAAAGATTAGGAAAGGTTCAGTAAGATAATAGATAAATTCAAAGAACACTTCCTAGGAATACATAAGGAACATCATATGCCAATTCATAGGAAACAAGTCTATTTTTGTTACAGTCAGGCAAGAATGTAATTAGGAGTTCTTTGATTTTTTTGCATTTATAGGTTTTCCATATGATTATCTTTCTGAGACAGGGATTGTGTTTTATAATCCTAATAAACCAAAAATATGAATTAATGGAATCTGAATAAATGGGGTTCCCCCATATAATGTTATTTCATTTACAGTCCATTTCAAAATTATAAACACAGGTGCATAAAATTAGTATAATAATTTTTTTATTAATGATTGGTTTAAGTAGTTGTCACCAGAGGGAAGTATCACTTATTATTTAGAATGTGGCACCAATTTTAAATGGCTTTTTTTTTATGATTTAAAACAATGCTTCACGGAAAAACACTAACAGAGTTGGAAATATGTGAAATTTACCAACTAAATGGATCAGGACAATCTCTAAGAGAAATTTTGGCAGCTATAAATCGATCTACATGTGCTGTGAGAAATTTGTTAACTCAAGGTGAAAATTATGGCAGAAATAAGCAACTTGGAAGGCCTAAACTCCTTACACCTAGAAACGAAAGAAAGGTTTTTCAGCTACTGACAACCAGCAAGTTATCTGTCGGAGAAGCAGCATCAACATTGTAATTGCAGTTTCACCAGCAACTGTATGGAGATGTATGCATAATCATAAAAACGCCAAATTTACAAAAATGGCTACCAAACCAAAATTAACACAATTGCACAAAACAGCTAGATTAAAGTGGGCCAAAGACAAGATGACATGGAAAGAGGAGTGGAAACAAATGGTCTTTTCAGATGAAAAAAGTGGAATTTGGATGGACCTGACAATTATAGTCACTACTGGCATGATTTGAGGAAGAACAAAGAAGTTAGAATGAGCAGACAGCAAGGTGGATCGGTGATGGCATGTGCAGGATTTGGATGGGGAGGTAAAACAGATATTGTATTTACAGAAGGTAGAATGAATTCAGAAAAGTATCAAGAACTGTTGTACCAAAATTTAATAACTTTTGGATCACTTATTGGACAAGAAAACTTGCAATTCCAACAAGATAATGCTGCCATTAATACATCAAAGTCAACTAAAAATTGGTTTGCTGAAAAAAAAAAAAAAATCAATGTAATTGATTGGCCATCACAGAGCCCTGATATGAACCCGATAGAGAATATTTGGGGCATTATGAGTTGTCTTGTTTATTGCCAAAACAGACAATACAATACTGTAAATAAACTGAAATTAGCTATCATGGATTGTTGGGAAAATATTAAACAACAACTTCAAAAACTAGTAAAAATGTATGCCTGATAGAGTATTTGAAGTCAAATGATGGACCTACAAAATATTGAAACATCACAAATCGGTTTTTTGTGCACGTGTGTTTATACTTTTGAAACAATCAGAAATTGAAAATCTGCAATAATTTTTTTTTGTAATTGTCAAGTTGCTCTAAAAATTTCAGAAAATATTATAGTAATATATCAATTTAAACAAATACATTACAATTGTTAATGTTTTTGTTACTGAAAAAAGTTGGGTGTGTTTATAATTTTGAAACAGACTGTAATTATAAAATTAATAATACAGCCATTCCATGCTTAACATCAATACTCCATTCCTGAAAATTAGACATTCTGTAGAAAAATGTTATTAGGAGCCTATCTGCCATTATTCTAAATGAGGAATATTATAATTTGTTTTAATATTAATATAAATCCAAAACATTACTAATATACAATACAATGCCCATATAAAAGTAATAAACTATTGTATTATATGGTATAGTCAAAAGATCCAGAACACTTGGTATGATTACTTAAAAACACGTGAGGATTTCATTGCTGCATGCAACCCATCAGTAGACACAGAAAAAGCCAAAGGTCTTTCAACAAAATACACAAAAAGTTATGTCAATGTTCTTTTCTAACTTTCAAATTTCTTCCAGAAGGATCCACCATCAATGCAGCAAGTTACTGTGAGGCACCTGAAGCCCCACAGAACATGAAATCAAAATGTCCAGTCCTTCACTGATGGAGTGATGCTCCAGCATGTTAATGCATGACCCTATATGGCACAATCTGTGGAGGATCTATTGAGGAAATGTAGTGGAGAAGCATAGTTCCATTCTTCCTACTGTCCTTTCTTATATGATTTTCATGTATTTGGCCCAATAAAAAACACCATTGAAGTGATGAGAATTCACATTGGATGACAAGGTTAAGGAAGCATTGATACAATTGGTTCATAGTAATTACATAAATTCTATGAGAAAGATATCAAACACTTGATGCCAAATCTGGTGGCAAGACCAGGTTTAGTAAAACTGTCAGTACCTTAAAGGTTTAACTTGTTAGCTTTAATAACTGTCTTTAAATCAGACATTTTAACATGTAGGCTAACATTTCATCTTTGTTTTGTTAAAAAAGGAGGATGTAACAATAGGCAAGTTTTGTCAGTAGAGG